GAGGCTATAATCTTCACAAGGGTTAACAATATACCTGTATGGATAACCTTATCCTTTCAATTGTGTTCAGGTAAAGCAACAGATTATAATCTGACTTGAATTTGGATTTTAGATCCTGTCTCGTTCAAAGAGTGAAACTGAGGCTATAATCTTCACAAGGGTAAATGATATACCTGTATTGATAACCTTATCCTTTTAACTTTGTTCAGGTGAAGCAACCTGACTGTGATGTTTAGGATGACCTGACAGTACAAAATAAACATTTAAGAGTAAATAAAATAGAAAATGTGAGTGAACTTATAGTACACAGTATTATACCCTTAAGTGCTATGAGTGTGATGATTTCCTAGAATGGTTTCAAAAATGCAGTTATCTTCCTCAAGCATTTGATTAACTAGGTGCTGTTCCACCCTGTTAAAAATTAGTATATTACATGTCACTCTGATGGTAATTACATGCCATACTGCTGTATTTGGAAATAACATGCTGTCCTGCATGTTGGAAATTTCATGCTACATTGATGAAAATCTGTTTGAATCCTGACAATAGGGTGAAATATTGACAGCAGGGTGAAATATTGACAAAGGGTTAAATACTGACAACAGTGTGCAACACTAACAATAGGGTAAAATACTGACAACAGGTTGAAATACTGACAATTGGCTGAAATACTGACAATAGGCTGAAGTACTGACAATAGGGTGAAATACTGACAAGAGGGTGAAATATTGACAATAGGGTAAAATACTGACAACAGGTTGAAATACTGACAATAGGCTGAAATACTGACAATAGGCTGAAGTACTGACAATAGGGTGAAATACTGACAATAGGGTGAAATACTGACAAGAGGGTGAAATATTGACAATAGGGTAAAATACTGATGACAGGGTGAAATACTGACAATAAGTTGAAAAACTGACAATAAGGTACATGATGAAATAACAGGTAAAATGAGGATTAAGCACCATGTTAAGTAAAAATCCTGGAGATAAAGATAACTAAAAAATAATAAATCAATTTTTCACCTGTAACACAGTATGATAAAAGAAGTGTTACCTTAATAACCCTATTACTCTAATTGTGGTAAAAGGATGACTGACATGATTCTACGGAGTGATCTGGTCACTAATCATTCTGACTTATCTGACCTTAAATGACTTAGTGCATACCGTACATACAAAACACTGGAGGAACTATTTCTAATGTTTATCAATTGGTTTGTTTTTATCTTCAAAGACAGGTCTGGATATACTATTTAAGTGAATATATCAATACTTTATGAGAAGTAGAAATAAATGAGCTAATTCTATTAATCATTAATTGAATGTGATATATGAGGAAGACATTACCCTGAGGCAGAGAGGCTGATATAAAATTACTACACTCTGATAAGGAGAATTTCACAGTATTGCTCCCAAAAGTAACAACCGTAACATTCTCTATGAGTTTGTATTTGAAATATATCTCAGCTTCTTATGAATGCATGTAAATCTGGCATTCTGATTGGTTAGCTAAGTCCTGATTTTTGAATTTTAAATCTGACCAAATTTGATGCTTGAAAAGGGTAATTCACCCTGGACATATATTTATTTGAAGTAGCTGCCCTGTCCTTGAGTGCTGGTTATTAAAATGATAACAAATGAGAATAGAATGTTAGAGTGGTATAACTTTATGAGTAAGGTTACTACCCTTCAAATTAAATCCACTTTATCTGGCCTCTTCAATCATAAATAGTTCTTTGACCAAGTCTTAATCAAATCAGAATAAATAGCAGCATGACCTTAACATGCAAACACAATGTCACCACCATCCATTTGTTACAAAAAACTGGAGACTGTAATGATATTTCACAACTTGTGGCATTAACATAACAAGAACATCATGACACTACATTGTCTGCCTACGATATGAATGTTAAGCTATCAGAAAGTTTGCAGTAAGCATTCAACAATACTATAAAGCTGTATTTGAAATCACTTATCCTACCAGCATCAAAACTGCAAAATCACTTGAAGTAGTCAGAGTGCAGTATAGTTATCAAATCTTGATGAAGTGTATTTACAAGAGAGGTCAATTGCAGAATAGTTGAATCTATAAACTATTCATCTTGATTCTTCACTCCACAATAATATTTTCTTCTGTAAAGGGTTATTTTTATTTTCTGTACTAGTTTGCATTTTCCTTGTTTTATGAGAGGTGAAAATAGGCAAACCACAGTGCACTTTCTGGTGTACTTCTATTTACAGATAAGATCTTTGGACTTAAACATGTTAATCTGATATCTTTCAGCTGTCATCAGTTATAAGGGTTGGGGGGGGGGTAGAGCTGGGATGTGGGGGTAGGGTAGAGCTGGGGTGTGGGGGTAGTGCTTGGAGCGATTGTAAAGGTAATGCTTCATTTTCCATATGTTAGATCATTCGAAATGTTCAGTCAATTTAATTATTAAATTTGTTTGTTTAAGGGGTTTAACTTAAGTAAATATGGCTATTACAAACTCCTAGATGATTAATAGAAAATGTTTTTATTTTCATCAAATGCTAATTATCAATCAAACATATTCTGTGTTTATTTCCTTATTGGCCAATTGAGAATATACAGTAAGTGTCACATGTAATTGACCTGTTTTAATGAATGCATGCTATTCAAGTAAGTAGTCTCAAATGAATAGAAAGAAAACAGGGTTCCCTATTGTTCTTTTCAATGAGGAAGTTATTACTCACTGTAAATCAAAAAACATGAATTTTTCTTAACATCCTGGATCTTAAAGAAGGTTGCCAGAGAAAACATGATCTTCTTGTTATTTGTCAAATGCATCTGACATGAAACCTCAATCAGGATCAGGTTTCAAATGTGAACTTCAGACATGTTTATGTGTTTGTGTACAGAGTCTACATATGTTATTTATCCATTTATTTAGATATACACTTTTTTAACAGTGGCACTCTTACATTAAGGTGCATCTAATCGAAAGTATCCACAATGCCATGTTGGTTAAAAACAGAAATATATATGTTATATATATTTTTTTACATGTAGTATTGTTGCAAGTTTAAGAGCTCCATCAGTATCTTTCCTCTGGGGAGTGGAAAGTCCTTGTTTTTCAAAATCTTGACCTTTGTTGGTCTAAATATGTCAATTTGAAGTGAGTGCAAATTGGTTTCAAGTGTTTGCTAGTCTATTCTCTAAACCTTGAATTAGTGTTAAGCCAGATCTGTAGCAATCTCTTGAAAGCCCATGGTTCAGGGGAACAACCCCCTTGGGGTTTTCAAAATAATGCAGTTTTTCGCCATTGTGAGCACTTTTCAGGTGATTTTTTTGCCAAAATGGTCAAATGTGAACCCCCTGGAAGATTTTAGACAGCGAACCTCCAAAGAAAAAGCTGGAGGTAGGGTCTTGATGCAAGACTAGCTACAGGCCTGAAAGCCCAATTTGAGGTGCTGAGATGATCCCTCCAACAACATTCCCTTATGTATAAGAGAATGGGATGGGGAATAAAACCTTATGAAAGACTAGTTTTTCACAAACTTTATTTTGAATTCTCCTCTTGTGATTATATGCAATCAATGTGTCTCACTGAAAGATTTGTTTAATGTGTTTAATAAACAAATTGTCTAATAGGTTGGTTTACACGTTTGATGAATTTCTTCAGTATAATCAAAATGTCTCATAGATTCCTTCAATCAATTACCCTGCGTGCAGAGTCTAGTTAAACTACACTCTGCCTAGTAGAGACCATATTACAGTTTAGTAGCCCCGCCCCCACGTCGGGTACCGGTGACAGTTTGCGTAATAAATAACTTTTGACCTACGCGCTGACCTCTCTTCCACCAATCTGCGAGCTTGAAGAAACAAACGCCAAATGTGTTCTAATTAAATATGCGCATGTCATTGGTCAATTCCGGGCTCAACGATGACGTCAGAAGGAATGACCATATATAGAACGTCGGTCAATTTTGGCCGACGAACACTGATTGGCGCGGTGAGTTCACAGGTTTATTTTAGTTTGAAAGAGTGAAGACGAAACTCTCTTTTAAGAAGTGAAGTCAAACGAATGCAAAGGGTATCAATCAATATAAAGATGGATTGAAAATCTAAAACTGATTTTTTATAAGGCCACTGGACTTATTCATTTGTCTTTCATAAAAAATATGATAACGATCAGCGCAGAAACCTAGAACTCATGTCTACTGTCCCTATACCCTCTCCATCAATATAAAATTCAACTGTGTTAGCTAAAGGCTGCTATATACATGTATATTGAGATGTACCAGGAATTAACTACATGTTGTTAAGTTCCTGGTTAAGTACTAGGTTTTGAAGGTGACAATCAACTTATAAATCATCTATTACTCTCTCATATTACACCTACGTGTAGTATATGTATTAAGAGCCATTAAGTCAATATCAATTGACTTTTACCGCCATTATCCTATATGCCACTGCTGTAATCACTTATTTTATAGAATGTGAATACAAGTAAAATAAAGTCAAAAACTATGTATGTTATCTCTATATGACCTCAATTTTGTCCAAAGAGACCACCCTTGAAATAAAGTATCCTACATGTGGTGAACAATCTTCTACTTTATATTTCCCTATATCAAAGGGACCAGAATTTAAGGATCTGGTATGAGAATTCCCCCAAAATTATATCTGGATATTTGATATGAAATTGGTCCTATTATTTGGACATTTGGTATGGCATTGGTCTTATATTTTAACATTTGGTTTGGCTTTTGAGCGTTATTTTGGTTGGTATGGGAACACATTGAAATTTGACAGATTCGTATGGAAATATATTGATATCTGAGGGTTCAGCCTAGGACCCCCGCCAAAGTTTGCATACAGTGAACACCCCGGGGTTAGGGCCCAACCATAGCAACCAACCATGATAAGAGACAATGGAACGTCCATTCATTTTATGTATGTACATTTTGTGCATTAATTAGAGATAAACAGATCACATAATTCAAAAATTATGAATATACGATACTTACAGGTCGAAGCTTCTCTGGGATTTTGATGCCAACAATTTTCGCCTGAAGTTTTTTCTCCGGTGGAGATTTCACCAAGAATCCTTCGTGGATAATTTCCATGATGCCTTGCTCTGCTTCAAGTCTCCTACCTCCTGTACATCCTAACAATTCAGTAAAAGTAGGCATAAAACCTGGGCCAAACTCAAGTGCCCGTGCGCAGATAAGAAATAAGTAATTTGGAACTTCAACTTTTGAACAGGAAGTGAAATTAGGATTTTCTGACGTCATCGGGTTAATTGAAAGCAGAACTTTTGTCAAAACTATTTTGATTGGCTGACAAAATCAATTTATGAATTTTAAACCAATCAAATGATTCGTTACAAAATGTTTTAAGATGGCGCATAATTGGCAAAGATCTAAATCCCGACTTGGAACAAATCTTAGTCACACGACGAGGATGTAAGCTACATATATTCAATAGAACAATACGGGTAGATGAGTACCTATGACGAGCACATAGATCGATACATAATGAGGTAAGACTTCAAAGAATCAAAATCAAAACCCACACTTTTTGATCAAATAAAAATGACAACTCCGAGAAGGAGAAGTCAGTGTCAAAATATAACTACTGTCGGTTTCATGGTAAAAATAGCAAGAACTTAACTTCGACATATAAGTGTTACCTGATGAATGGGACCCTCACGTGCCTTCCCAATGGTAGCTAACGAACCCTAGTGTAACTACATCAGCTTATCTTTCCGTCCGATCAACAATAAGTACAGTTATACAAGAAATGTAAACGAAGTGAAAATATTCCAAAAAGATTTCCTAAAGGCATGTCATCTCCGGAAGTTATGATACGTTATATTACCGAACATGCGTGAAATGTGAACATCCAAGCATCGGGTATGACTCCACCATTGTTTTGTCGTTTTACTACTTGCCACAATCAACCTCACTGCCAGCATATCAAATAAGGCCCGTTTCCCATGAAACTTGGCCCAACTACTATCAGGCAGATGTCCTTGAAAAATCAAGTTGACATAGTTACCCAAGCCTAATAGTTGCCATGGCAACCATAGAAATGGGCTAAAAATGAGGGCAAAAAAGCACCCAAACCAACCATAATGGCACTAATTTATAAAATATTTCTAGATATACAAATTTTCTTAAACTTTGATATCATCTGGAACACTTCTAGACAACAAAAATGTTAAAAAATGGGGGGAGGTTTACCACTTCAATTTTTTTCTAGGCTTGGTCAAAGTAAAACTACGAAAAGGCAATAATTTTTACTTTTGAATCACCTATTATCGCCAAAATGGCTATATTTTTCAAGGTCAAGGTCGCCATGCTAAAAGTTGAATTACGGAGATAAATCTGCTCTTCAGACAATGTTTGATAGCTTTTCTTCACCACGAGACACATCATCATTATCATCAAATTCTGAGCTGATTGGTCTTGAAAAGTCCTGTAGTTGCTCAGATCTTAATTTAAATGTATGCAATAGATATTAAACTATATCATAGTGATAATTTAGCCAAAGTTTGTCTAGTCTCCCTTTAAACTGATCTACACTATGGGCGGTCACTACCTTCTCTGAGTGGCTGTTCCAGTCTTCTATAATTCAGTTGCTAAAGGTGTCCTGTCGAAGGGTGGTGTTACAGTGGTGTTTGTACATTTTCAGGGAGTGCCCTCTAGTGGTTGTGGTGGCCTTGGTAAAAAATGAGCTATGCTCTTTAGTGTCAATTCCATTAATAATTTTATAAACCTGTCTCCTCGTCTACGTCTGTAGTAGAGGGAATGGAGCTTTAGCTCTTTAAGCCTCGTTTGATATGGCTTATTCTTCAAATCTGGTATTATTTGGTAGCTCTTCTCTGTATCTGTTCTATTTTCACTCCTCTTCTAAGAGTCTTGGGTGCCATATAATGTTGCCATAGTGTAATATAGGTCTAATCATAGATTTGTAGAGTGGCACTATGATCTCCTTGGTGTGACTAAAACTTCTCTTGATAATTCCTAATTTACTATTTGCTTTTTTTGCAGTTTGACTGATGTGTTGTTTGAATTTTAGTTCTTTGTCTATGGTGAATCGTAGGTCTTTCTGTTCTGTCACTGACTCTATCATGGTACCATCTAGGTTGTATTGTTGGTTTACGTTTTTACCACCTTAGTGTAAAACTTTACACTTTTTTAGATTGAACTTTAATTGCCAATCATTTGACCAGTTAACTAGAGTGTCAATATCTTGGTGAAGGCTCTCTCGCTGTTCGGCACTGACACATTCCCCATAGAGTTTGGTGTCATCTGCGAAAATTTTGATTGAGTTTCTTATCTTGTCTGGGGCATCATTAATATAGTGTCAAGATGAAGGTTATGTATAGGGGATTGCAGAAATATAGTCATTGTATGGGCTAATTCATTCGAAAATGGCGATATGTACCCCAGAGGTGTGAGTACCGTAATCCAGCACCAAATTCGAAAATTCAGAACAATACTTTGCACAAATGGCGTTCGTGATCAGCTATAAAACGCTTACCCCCCATGGTGTTATATACCAAAATGTACCTGTTCATATAGGACTTCGATTGATCTACATTAAATTATAGGGAGTCAGGTTACTTTTTGAGATATCAGCGTCCATTTATTGTAACTCGCGTTTGCTACCATTTCCTCAATTCTGAGATGACGGGCATACGCGTAGTAAACATGCTCACGCCGGAACTATTTTGACCTACATCGCTATTTTCGTAATTCAAATGAAAGTAGAACTCATCCTCTTTATTTTGATACCAAATAGTGGCATACTAGGTACCCAAGAAGCCAACTATGGCGTTATTTAGAACAAAACCACACATTTTTAAATGGACTATATAGTCATACCTTTTGGCGGATGGATATGGAACCTCACATTAGAACTTGAATTTTGTGATTTTTTTCAATAATTTACCGTAGTGACACCATAACGTATCATAACTTCCGGAAATGAATGCCTTTCGGAAAATTTTGGGGAATATTTTCACTTAGTTTACATTTCTTGTATAACTGTACTTATTGTTGATCGGACGGAAAGATAAGCTGATGTAGTTACACTAGGGTTCGTTAGCTACCATTGGGAAGGCACGTGAGGGTCCCATTCATCAGGTAACACTTATATGTCGAAGTTAAGTTCTTGCTATTTTTACCATGAAACCGACAGTAGTGCAAATGTCAACAAATCCACCATAACATGATAAGTTGAAAAAGTGTGATACTGATAATTGAAAAATATTAACAGTTATACATGAGAAATTATACTAATCAACCCATGTCAACTCTCTCAAACCACAATAAGGTATGAGCGTACATGTTTTCTGCGGCGTATTTGAGATTTTTGACTTGGGGCCAGGTTAGACTCTCAACCAGTCAGCAAAAAAATTCAGACTCTTATTTTTATTTGATTTCATTACAATGTTTTGCGTCAGAGGTTTTGCACAAGATTTCCTGTCGAACTTTTGAACCAATACTTCCCGGGTTTTCATTATCAGCAGGCAACAGGCGATTTTCACCAGTTTTCACAAAACTGGCTGTTGTTTTAGGGACTTACTTTTCCATGTTCAATTTATGATTTCCATTAATTTTTTCCTGTTTTTTTTTGTATATTTAATAGCCTGTTGTGAGAAATTCTAATGAAACCCCTGACTCCCCCCCCCCCCCCGGGGACTCCCCAAACTAATTCATTGGATGCAATACATGTCTAGTTTGCATTATTCAGTGAAATATTGCAGATATTTTGAGAAGTATAAAGTTATACTTACTTTATTCCGGAGACTGACTATTTCACGTATAGTTCTGGGTTCTCCCCAGAATCTAATTGCACAGTGCTCCCCCTGCTCGCTCAATACCCCCTGTTCTCCCCCTGCTTGCTTCACCCGCCTAGTGTCCTCAATATAATCATGAACAGGCCAAGGGAAGAAGTCCTTAAGTTTGAGACAGCATGGGGGAGGTGGTTTGACATGCACCCCAGAAGATGCATGGACAGGCGGCAGGAGGAAACTGAACAATGAACACTACAACCATATTATCATGTAGTATTATTAAACAAAAGGTTTTCTAAATGTGATTTAGCGTTCTTTTACATTTTGCAAGTGAAGAAAAAGTAACACTGCTGGAGCTACTGAAGATTATTTGACAAAGTACGCGAGCAATGCGAGAGTCAAAAATTGACCCAAAAATCATGTGAGCGAAGCGAGTGGTGAAACTCTAAAAAGTCCCCCCTGCTATGAAAAAATCCTGGGGAGATCACTGTAGTTCAAGAAATGGCCCATGATGTTTTTATTATGATCACGCAAGATCTGGGATCTTTTTTTTAAAAATATATATAGCTTACTCATTAAATTGCCAATCAAATATGGCTGACTGCCCGGCTCACAAATTGAAATACAAGCCACAGGGGAAATAATGCCATGGTTGAAGAGCCCTGTGATGAAATAATCCAATATATAATAGTAGAGTAAAAGTATTTGCTACAGTGTATATATTTGACTGAATCTTTGAATATCTCTAAAAAGGCAGTAGAATCAGGGGTTTCATTAGCACCAGGCAGCAGGTTATTTTCACCGGTTGTTTTCACAAAATCGCCTGTTGTTTTTAGGCCTAAGGGACTTTTCAACTTGTCCATGTAAAATTTATGATTCCTCGTAATTTTGCCTGTTGTTTTCATTTATTTAGCCTGTTGTGAGGAATTCTAGTGAAACCCCTGAGAATAAGTCTAACCTTGCATATTGATTAAGTCTTAAGAAACAACCAACATGTTTAAATCAATTATGACTTACCATATAGCCAACTCATGCTGCCTTTCAAATATATCCATTTATAATTCACTGGTTTCTTTTTAATTCACTTGTAAAATTACATGAAGGCTGCATCACTATTATCTGCTATGAACAAGGGTCAAAGTTCTATTTACAGCCCACTTAATGTAGTTTTATCTTCATTTAACTGTCTTTGCGTAATTAAAGTAACTTTGAAGTATATGCTTATACTTATCAGTTCAGTCCAAGAGGAGGCATATACATGTATATCTATATTACATGTGAGTATATTATATGAATTACCTACATGTACATAGATTAGAGTATCTAGTCTTTCGCTATCTCAAATCTGTATTTCGTGTGTTATTGTGGAGTGGCTTGGATTTTCTAACTTCCGGAACCAGATTATGTTCTTATTCAGTGATCTTGCCAGGGTGCTGATTTTTCTTGTTTTGGTCAAAACATGTGAACATCACAAAATTTGGTCGAGATACAAACAAATTATTGGCAGTCAGTAGTTATAATTGTTAACTTTTTGTTTTCAGAACAATAAAGACTATAACACCTTCATGCTGTCAACATTGAAAGCCTAGAGAATAACAACAGCATGGCAAGCAATCCTAAACATGGTGAAGCTTCTGCAGCGCCTGAGGAATCTGATGATGATATTATCGTAATACACCCACCAGTTTTAAAGAACAAACTAGCAAAGAAGAGTAAATTAGCAAAGAAAGCTGATAGTGAGAAACTACCAAACAGTATTAAAACAGATGAGGATATCGTCAAAGAGTTAAAAACTGAATGGGCATGCGACTTGTGTACTTTATCTAACTCAAAAGAATCGAGTAAATGCACGAGTTGTGGCGAACCAAAATCTAAAGATTCAAATGATTCTCGATTCATTCACCCAGGTGCCATTACAATAGACTCGTCAGCTCACGATAACAATGTTGATAGGCTTTATAAGCAAAGTGAAGGCAAATACAATGGAAAACTTAAAAGTGACCCTAAAAAGAATAAGTCTTCTATCGTGAGACATAGCAGCGATCCTGGAATGGGAAAATTGAAAAAACAAGACAAATGGAAATGTCAAAAATGCACGCTCGACAACCCAATAACTATGGACAAATGCCAAGTTTGTATGGCTCAAAGACTTCTAAATCTATCATTCCAAAAACAATCTGATCTAAAGAAATCTAAAACTTCAAGCAATGTTCCAAAAACATTAGACATTCCAGAACTCTCCGATTCATGGACGTGTAGGAACTGTACATTTAGTTGCAATCCTACATGGACCGCCACATGTGATCTTTGTGATGCGCCACATACAAAAGATGGACCGTTACTCAGCCCAATTGATTTAACTAAAGATTCTGTGAGATACACAAGTCCTACAAAACCAAAGAAACTTACTATCAGTGCTTCTGCTTCTAACTCAAATCCTCAAAGTCCGGAGCCATCAACTTCAAAATCAACGATAAATGACGCTAAAACTAATGATCAAGTCAACGCAAAAACTTGGAAGTGCTTGAAATGTACTCTCTTAAACCCAGACTCTGTTTTGGCATGTAACCTATGTGGTTCACTGCTTCCTGTTATGAAAAACACAGAAAAGTCCAAATTTTGGATTTGTAAAAAATGTACGCTGAAAAATTCATTGACTGCTCATGTATGTGGTGCCTGTGAGGCAAAACGTGATATTAGACTCCCTAGCGAAGAAGACATGGATACAGACATTGTCCCCGTACTAACATCCCCCACACGTCCTGTCGCAAATAACACAGTGTTCATTGACGAATCTCCGCCGGATTCATGGGTGTGTAAATGCTGTACTTTCCGAAACAAATCTGAATCTAAAGAATGTCTAGTATGCTATGCAGATAGAACAGGCTCTAGAAAGCGGTTGTTTGATAAAAAACCAAAGACACCATCTATGATTCAGAGGGAGGAAACTCAATTCATGGAAGATCGTCGCAAGATTGAGGAATCAGAGGCTCGTGATAAGTGGGAAGAAATCATCAATTTCTGCAAAGTGGTAAGTTGTTTACCCTGAATCTCAATCTACAAACTACACTTCCCTCTTACTTTGATAAATGCCAGCTTTTATACCAACAATTACATCTAAGGCCCATAGCAAGCTTTTGTCAAAGGGGGTTCACTTTTCAAAAAATCCAGGGTGGGGTTCTCATTTGACAATGTTGGCCCAACCACCCAAAAAATGTCCATAATGGTGAAAAGTTGCATGATTTTGAAAAAGGCAAGGGACTTTGTTTGAGCCCCCCTGGTTACGGACCTGCATCTAGACAAATCAAAATAATGCTTCATGTCGTCATGGGAGTTTGAATGTAAAATAAGTTTTCGCTACATTTCTCATAGGAAACAGTGTTTTAACTTACTTTGGATATAATCGAGATCGAGGACTTACTCTCAGAGTGTGGATAAGTTTAAGGTCACAGAAAGGATATGTATTTTGGCAAAACAACCAGGAAGTTTGAACAAATTGTTTATTTTGGCATGATATGTATGTTTGTATGTATGTAATTTTATGAAATTGGTTTCACAGTGTTAAATAACAGGTTTAAAGTGCATCAATTGTAGTTGGTAACACTTGCAAGTAATAACATTATTTGAATTTATATTTCAAATTATTTTTTTATTTGTTTATTTGATTAGGCAAAATTGAAAAAAATTACTTGTGCAATACTTTAAGTAAGCAGGCACAATATCACGCTAGAAAAGATTTTCAAGTGTGAATTAATTTACACTTCTAAACATTTAGCTACCTTATCGGAATAGTCAAAGCATTTTATGCCTTGGGTTAGTTGTATTTGGGCAATGTCAATAGATGGCTCTATGATATGATTTGATTTGGATTTAATTTGAAAGTTCAGCTTTAGGACTAAAAATCTTGTGGTGTCACACTTTTGAAAAACAAGCTTCTTGCTTTATATGGATACATCAATTGATTTAATGAATTATATATATACAAGTTTTTTTTTTGCATTATATTGAAATGGAAAATGCTATTTACAGGATGGCATTCTAAAAAGAAAATAAAACATAAAATTCCTCTGAGAAATTTAGTTTTTTTATGATCGATACACATATCTATATTATCTACATCCAGGGGTTTCACTGAAATTTCTCACAACAGGCTAAATAAATGAAAATATCAGGCAAAATTAATTAAAATCATAAATTTTACGTTGAAAAGTTCCTAAAAACAACAGGCGATTTTGCGAAAACAAACAGTGGAAATCGCCTACTGCCTGCTGCTAATGATACCCCTGAGTCCCTGACATGTTTAAATATGAATCTTTATTTTATTTCTTACCTGTTACTTGTTGATCACTGTTCATTGCCATACTATATTTTGTTTTCTACTCATGGATAAAAGGTCACTTTAATTTAGCACCTTTGTTAAACGTGACTAGTTTTTCGTCTGCCGTCCACTCACATGGGAAATTAAGCAGCAAAACATTTGTTATACCATTTGGTAGTTTATTTTTGAATATTATCTTCAAAAATATTATGATCTACTGGTAATTTTTTCGTTCCTTGAGTTGATCTGTTTGAATTTTCTGAGCTAACTGAATTGAAAATACAATTTTATTTTCTGGCCTAAATCAGCATGTAATTGTTGTTAAATAGTTACTTATAGTTTGCCTAATGATTTGCAATGGGACTTCTATTTCCTTATTTACTATATCTATATGTGATTGATAATATAATCAACATCCGGCTTTTAGCCACCCTACTTGACAAAATTAAGGTCATGTTCATGACAGGATATTATGTTATCATTTATTAATATTATAATCGTACATGTATGTTGATTTGATACATATTCAAATTTAAATTGCATATCTCATGGTAAATATATAAAAAATTTATTATTTCATGCTTTCTTATGGCAAAATTCAGAGCAGGCCCTGATCGAAAATTCTTTCAAAATCATGCAGTTTTTCACCATGACGAGCACATTTCAAGTGATTTTGGCCATTTTTGAGCCAAAGTTGTCAAAAATTAACCCCCCCTGAAATTTTTTAAAACATTTTGTTCATGTGTCAAATAATGTGTCACATAGTCTTTGTGTGTCATCTTGATTATTTATGTCTCAAATAGTACTTCACATGAAATTTTCATGTGTCATTTTACATTCTGTTTTTTTTTAAAATGGCTAAAATCTAGTTAAACAAAGGAAAATCTGCATTTCCTGGCAAGGAGGCCTTACAAAGACAATATCATGGTATAAATGAAATTACTTTTAGTTGATATTTTTCGCTAGATAAGGGCCTTCCTACTCCCACAACTGAACATTTATATTTATAAATGTAACATGAAGTTGCACAATATAGTCAAAAGTTTTGTCTAATCAAATATTAATCATATACTTGTATGACCCACTGTTTAATCTCATATAAACATAAAATACTGTTATAACCATAAAACACCGGAAAAGCCTGACAACGGTAAAGTCACAAATGGCGGACATAACCATTGCTTCATCTGTTTAACCACTTGATTCTCATTTCATGGGATTTTATCGTCGCTAATTCTGTGCATGTATTAAGCTCTTGTGACAATGTATCATATGAAATCCCATTTTCGATCAATTTGGGTCGTGAATCGCCACAATATAGCATCTTCGATATCGTCAATGCCAACGAAATCTGATTTTGACAACAGCATGGTAATTACAGTGTCCGTTGTCCCCTATCTCATTTTGATCGGTTAAATTAAAGACTTTGTTTTGATGGTAGAACATTATTAACTGTACAATGAGTATTTAGACACGTTGATTGATTGTTGTTCCAAAGGAATTTAGTCTAAATGCTCTATTAAACATACAGTTCATGAAAATCTAATTAAATTGACGGTTATGTCCGCCATTTGTGACAACAGTATCTGACTTTACCGTTGTCAGGCTATTCCGGGGTGCAAAATTTGAAATACATGTAATATTAACCTCTTGAATCCCAGGCTCTAAAATCGGTTGAAACCAGAAAATTTTTCATTTTTGCCCCCTTTTGACATTTAACTACATACCTATACAACTTTAGATGCTCGACGTTGGTAAAGTTAGATGGCAGAGATCATTTCTACACATTTTAAGACAACTCTTTTGTAAATTGGATGAAAATTATTCAAATAAAAGCAATATTAGTGAAAAATTTGGTGACAGATTTTCTCGTCACTCTGGGTTTCAAGGTAATTTCTGATGTGACGAGAAATCTCTTCACTCCAGGTAGTCAAGAGGTTAATAAGGTGAGATATATATTGGGTAGTCAAAAGGGCCTGAAACAAGACTATTTCTATCTCAGTCTAAATATTCTCTGAGAGGGTCTTGGAATTTGAATTTTTTTTTTTAAATTGAAATTTGAATTATGCTATGGCAATCCAAACTCCCAATAGCTGGTGGTTATATGTTAACGCCTTGTGAATGTTCTCAGTTGTGTCTTTTTTATTTTACAGAATGAAAGTCCATTCGTCGATGATTCATTTCCTCCAGTTCCGAAATCATTATACTACAGTGATCCTAAATCCACCAATGTTCCGAAAGATGTAGTCGTTTGTAAATGGCTTCGCCCAAATGAAATTACCCATAGTTCACCTGGTGAAGCTAGAACCAAATGGGAGGTGTTCCGCACTCCGTTACCATCTGATATATCCCAAGGAATACTCGGAAATTGTTGGTAAGTTAATATAGTGATTCAAGACTTTTTCAACTCATGTAATGTAAATAATTAAATACAAGTACATTTTAATCTTACTTTCAATAAATGCAGGGAATACAAAAAGTCTCTTGCATAATTGAGCCCTTGGAAGGGGGTTGGGCCAGCCTAAATAGTCCCATATCAGTTATACACATGATTAAAGGCAGAATCAGATCTATGGGGTTGACAAAATTACAAGCAATATGTACAATTGACCTACCAATCTGTTCCTTACAATCTCAAATACAATATCTCCCAAAATATTCATGATATGTTACAAATTGATGAAATTATTATGGATTCAAAGTGCTGCCAATTAAGCATTGGTCCAGTGCTCCTGATCACTTTGTTTTGGTCTGTAGAAATTACTTGTTCAGCATATAGGAAAACTAAATTGAAACTGGTCCATAGATCATCTTTGACCGGCATGAACTCCCAGCCTAGAGATCACATACTCCCACATTTTAACCTCTTGAATACCCAGAGTGACGGATATATCCGTCACAAATGAAATAAGACTGGTGCCCAGAGGGACGAGAAAATCCGTCACAAAATTTTTCACAAAAATTGCTCTCATTTGAAGAATTTTCATCCAATTTACGCAAAAATTGTTTTAAAACGTGTAGAAATGATCTGTGCCGTCCAATTCTACTAAGCTGAGCATCTAAAGTTGTATAGGTATGTAATAAAATGTCAAAAGGTGGCAAAAAATGAAAAATTCTCTGGTTTCATGCCAATTTTAGAGCCTGGGATTCAAGAGGTTAAAAGAGCCAATATCCTGAATGTTTTTCAGTTTTTCAGTGCAGTTTATGTTTTTAAATGCATTAAAGGTGTAAACCTGGAGATTTATCTCTGATCAATTCCAGGCCAGTAGCCAGGGGGGGGGGGGTTCAATGGTTCAAGGGTTCAATGGTCAAAATCATGCAGTTTTTCACCATTCTGAGCACTTTTTAAGTGATTTTGGACCAAAACTGTCTAAAGTGAACCCCCTTGAATTCTGTGTCACACTCTAAAACAAAACTGAAACAATATTAATTAATAAATCATAAACCATTGGTCTAATTGGAAGAACGAGGCAGTATCAAATCATAGTAAATTATAAGTTAATTTCGCCTTCATGAATGAGGAAATCGATGTATGATTTATTCGAATTGAAATAGAACAAACTATATAACTATGTTTAAAATCCTTAAGACACACACTGAAAAAATCTCCATTTCTATATTTTTGCCCAATTGATATTTCAGGTTTTTAAGCGCCCTTGCAGTATTAGCTGAGAAACCAGAACTAGTCCAGAAAGTAATGATTACGCGACAGTATTGTCCTGAGGGTGTTTACCAGGTGCGGCTGTGTCGTGATGGTATGTGGACGACAGTGATCGTTGATGACTTGTTCCCATGTAGCAAACACGGCACTTTGCTTTACTCCCAGGTAAGTAGGCGTTTAAGTCCCAGCTGCCCCAGGTCATCCTCTTATCTTGATGCACCAAGGTTTTTGTTCTTTCTACATAGGGTTCGTGACTAAGGTTGAAAACATAACTGTACAACATCAAAGTAATACAGGGGTTTCACTAGAATTTCTCACAACAGGCTAAATAAATGAAATCAACAGGCAAAATTAATGGAAATCATAAATTTAGATGGGAAAGTTGAAAAGTCCCTAAAAACAACAGGTGATTTTGTGAAAACAACCGGTGAAAATCACCTGTTGCCTGCTGCTAATGAAACCCCTGTAACATATCTATGTATGTAGTCTATAGTCCTCAGAAAATAGATTGAAATGTTTGTTTAATTCCTCGTTTTTGTAACAAGGCAAAAGGCATGTTGAAAATACATGAATGTTAAAAAGCTGTAGGAACGAGATACATTGAAATATTAATTACAGTTAGCGATGTTCAATGTTGACTCAAAACAAGGAAGGATACTGCAAATTGTAAATCGCCTATCATTCATTCAGGAAATTGATCTAATTCTGGACACATGCACACTATATATAGGCTTGCACCTACCTGAAAATCCATTTGCACCCACTTGAAAATGAGAAAAATCCAGAAAAATTGGCATTTTTTGACCAATTTTTGGTCTGAATTGTGAAAATGAGAATTTTGCACCCACCTGAGAAAAAATCCTGGGGAGATCACCGTAGTGCCTGACATACTTTAGACACAAATTGTTTTTAAGGACACTTTAATTGCAGAGAAATTAAGAGCATTCTATATGTTTTTCTAGAGAGAGAGACCAGTTATGGGTGACTCTCAGATATAGTTTTCTCACTTGTTATTTGATTTCATGCTCTTTGTCAGGGTTTGAAACTTAAAGCTGCTTCACTGTTACTGATGCATGCTGTCATCTAGAAAAAAAGTAAAAATATAGAAAATGTTACCCTTTTTTAGGCAAAGAGGAAGCGAGGAAGTTTTTATGGGTTCCCCTGATAGAGAAACCTCTGTCAAAGGTGCATTTAAGAGCATGAAGAATGCTCTTTCACCATGCAATAAAAAAGGAACCTATATTTTTATTTCTAGTGCAACATTTACCACTTTGTGTCTTGTTTGTAGGCAAAGAGGAAGCAGTTATGGGTTCCCCTGATAGAAAAGGCCCTGGCGAAGGTGCATGGTTGTTATGAGGCCTTGATAGCAGGGAGATGTATAGAGGGCCTAGCTACATTAACAGGGGCTCCTTGTGAGAGCATTATGCTCCATGCATCCAGAACGAATAAAAATGACGGCCCGGTGGATCCCGACCTTATATGGGTGCAGCTTTTAAGTTCTCGGGAATCCGGGTTCCTGATGGGTGCATCCTGTGGGGGCGGGAACATGAAGGTGGATGATGGGAAATATCAGCAAGTTGGTCTTCGTCCTCGTCACGCATATTCCATCCTGGATGTCCAAGATGTTTCCGGACACAGGTAGGTAGAAATCTTTAGCATATTTTAAGGAACCTTACTTCTTAGAATGTTTTATTTCATGGCAATGCTTAGCAATAAAAATGAGGAAAGCCCTAGGCCTAGATGAAAAATTGAAATTATAAATAAATACAATGAGTCTAAAATAATAGATAAAGTAAATGTAGATAGTCACAAGGTGTTTAAAAAGTATTGCTGATTTTGCTACATTTTTTGTCATGTCACCAGACTTATCGTTAAAGTCTACAATTTTTTTGTGGGCAGCGTTCCATGGTTGATGTTCAGCGGTGTCTGTAACAAATGGCAGGTAATGACAATTTGCATGTTAATGCCTTGTCTAATTTTTCATTCTTCTTTATTGAAATGTTAATGTAGTCTACATTTATTCGATTTAGGCTAGTCAGAATGAGGAATCCATGGGGAAGATTTTCCTGGAAAGGTGATTGGTCAGATAACTCAGACATGTGGAAAGATGTCGCCACTGCTGGATTGAAAGAGAGGCTAATGGCCCATGGTGCAACTGAAGGCGTGTTCTGGATATCACTCCCCGATATGATGGAGTAAGTACAGTGACTAGAATAGCCTTTTCCCATTTGACTTTTTCGATAAAAGTTTATTGCAAATAACATGCAATTTTGCAGTTTTACGACCTTTCACTTGTTTTCAAATATTCATTCAACAATGAAAACTTTCATAGGCCTACAGATTTTTTTGAACAAGAACATCGGTTTATCGCAATTAACATAGTCTATAAATTGTCCTCTTTTGAAATTTGATAATGAAGAATTTTGTGCCTGTATATCACCTCCAAAATCCATTATTAATTGCTTTTTTGTCCAAATTCTTCATAACAAAGCAGTTAAACCTGCTTTGTAACACAAAGCAATTAAACCTGCTTTGTAACTCTGAGCATTACATGTTATTTAAGACTTTGTGTATTTCAGATACTTTGACTGTGTAGACATCTGTAAAGTACAGACAGACTGGAGAGAGTCTAGAGTAGAGGGAAGGTTTCCCGGTCACTGTTTAGATGACATCAGAGCGTATCAGATCTCCGTTTTCCAACCCACCATGATGGAGTTTACACTATTCCAGGAAGGACTGAGGTAGAAATATTTCAGATGAATAGAAATTTTTAATGTGAATAACAATCAAAATAGATTTTATTTTTGAAATCAAATGATAATGGACCCCATATCTGTTCAGATATACAGTATCTCCACAGCTACATTTATTCATTAAGTTTACCATATTGTACCCAGCGCTTGCATTAGATTAGAAAATTTGTGAGTCCCAAGGACGCAATTTCTTTTTAAAAAGTGTGTCCTTTGAAAAAAAAAGTGTGTCCCTTATTTTTCAGTTCTGATTTCTTGCCGCGAATTTAAAACGGAAGTAAACGTTAAGTACGGACTGAATAAATGCATGTTCGTTCATTCATCTAAAAATAAACAAAGTCGAAAAAATTCGAGAGAATCATGATTATTTTTAAATATTCAACATGTTGAGCCTTATTTATGATTCAAATAAAGGTGAGAGATCATAATTATTTGTTTATGTTAGGTATTGTTGTGAACACATTGTAGTATTGACCTAAAAAAAATTTGCGTCCAAAAAACGGAAATATTTTCAATTTTTGCATCCTCCAAATTATTTTTGAGTCCTTAACATGTACGGGACACCATTAATGCAAGCCCTGGTACCCCATTTTAAACCATTTCTCCATAGCAATTCATTTAGTTCACCATATAGGACCCCATATTAGACCATATCTCCATAGTGATTCATTTAGTTTACCATATTGGATACCATATTAAACCATAACTTTATATCAAGCCATCTTTTTGCAGATCTTTCATTCAGTTATATTTCCAAATACCCCACTCCTACTGGGAAATGACGTCATTTGATTGAAATTATGAGTTTTAGATAACTTCCTTATAATAAATGCAGTTTGTAACACACATTTTATAACGAGGCATTTTACTTTAACATTGAGTGTAATGAAGCAATGGAATAGGAACTAGCTCAAAGTCCCAGAGAATTATTACCACCTGGACTGTCAATAGATGGCGAAAAATTCAGTGGGTTTAATAGCATGTAAAAATTGCTCCAAAAATCTCCCAAGATAATTGTGATTAAAAATATCCAAAACCCTTTGATTTTGAATCTTAAAACATGTTTGTAAATAATAATGAAGGAAAATATGATATTTGTTTGATATGTGTAGTGAATTTGAAGTTTTAAAACTGCATTATTTACACACAAACCAATGGGCCAGATGTGAAGAACAACCTAGTAGTTAACTGCCATCTATACGAGTCCTGGCTCCCATTGGCCCAAGACAGTACTGAACAAATTGCTTAAAATTGTCTGATATAGATGGAGTTTGTCTTTGCCAATCTAGGTCATTAGTATTCCAAGGATGAATTGCACGGAAAATCTTGAATCACTTGAATGCTATGAATGAAAATAAAACAATTTATTTTATTCAAAAATAATTTCAATTGTATTATTTCAGGAATAGTGAAAAGAACAATCGCAGTCAGGTGGATTTATGTATTATCGTGCTTCGAGCCGTCAAAATGCAGCATCGTAGTGTCGGGAAAGTGATGTCACACAGCAAACGTCAAGTGAAGAATTTTGTAGAATGCAATACAATACTAGAAGAAGGGCAGTATTTGGTGTTCTGTACAGCCTTTAATCATTGGAATATTGGTGAATATTTTATTAAATAGGGGATATTCAAAGGATTCAAGTATTTGCTCCTCCAATCTTTTTCTGTTATCTTTGAATTATCTGCTTTCTCTCTTTTTCATCAACTTTGGTCAGCTCTCTATTTATTTCAGATACTATTGTCAAGTTATTCATAGTGTGATCTACTGTACCCCTGGTAACTTTTCAAGTATTTCATATCTGAGTATTTTACTCATTCAGTGAAAGGGTATATATATAGTGTGAGTAATTGAAGCACCTGGTCACAATTTTGCATTTTCATTCCTACTTTCCTTTTGTGATAACAAAATTGTTCATTTCTGTAGTATTTTAAGTATATCCGTACGTGAACCACTCTTCAGAGTTCCATGACCTGTTTAAATAATGCTAAATGAACCTTTGTAAGTGAAACCTCTACCAAATGAAATACTTTTTAGAGGCGCAAACGATGTTCTACTTACACAGTTTTACTGCGCCCCCCTGGCCAGAAATTCTTTCAAAATCATGCAGTTTTTCACCATTCTGAGAATTTTTCGCATGATTTTTAGCCAAAATTGTGAAAAAGCTTCCCCCCTGGAAAAAAGCTCCCCCTTCTGGTAAAAGCTGGCTACGGGCAAGTACTGTATTATATAACTTTCTTTACGCACTTTCAGCCAACAAGGAATCTTTGAAGTATGTGCTGGCAATACATAGTGCAAATCCAGTCATGGTTGAACCTGTCTCCCTCCCCACGTACGGTCTAGCAGATGTCATAATACAACTCACCATGGAGAAAGGAGAAAGACATGAGGTTATTATCCATTTTTAATTTTTTTTTTACAACTTAAAGTTACAAATATTTATTTATTTTATTTTATTTTTCATATTTCTTATAACTTAAACTAACAAATATATCAGTAGTTTTTAAAATTCTTTCGAAAGAATTTCTGGTATATGGTGAAAACTCATAAGTGGATCACCTCTGCAAGTATACAGCCTCAAAAATACCTAGAAATGTAAACACTTTTGAGCTTTAGGTGTTCTTTTTTACAGGCTTAACTGTTATTTGGACATTCTTTCCCATCTTATGCCTTATTTAAGGTATTGAAAAATTAGATTATAAAAAAGAATAGTACTCCAAATCACTCCATGCAAGTATTCGAAATCACTCTATGCAATGCAAGTATTTGAAATCACTCCTTGTACTTGAAAGTACTCAAAATTAATTTATTAACATATTTGAAATGCCATATGCATTTTTTGAATTCCTTCAATGCAAGTATTTACTCTATGCAAGTATTTGAAATCATGTTTTTTTGTATTATTTATTACCAAATGCAGTAGGTCATCCAAGCCATTTTCATTAACTGCCTTTTTCATTTTTGTTGATGATTTTGGAAAATAACCTTATTTATACTGTAGGCTACTTAAACAGTTTCAGACTAAAGGGTAGATATAATACAACTTATTTTTTCAGGGAAGAGAAGGGATGACAGCCTACTACTTGACCCATGGCTGGGCCGGGATTGTAGTTACAGTAGAGAACCGGCATCCTGATGTCTGCCTTCATGTACAGTGTGACTGCACTCGAAGCTTTAACGTGGTTTCCACCCGAGGAGACTGCAAGGTCTTGGATTCTATACCCCCACTACACCGCCAGGTTGTTATCGTGCTCTCGCAGCTAGAGGGCACTGAAGGTTATTCTATTGCTCATAAACTTGCCCATAGGACCTCACCTAATCAGGGACTGGGGGACTGGGCACCCCAAGGGACAAGTCATGTTCCTAGGATAACTCAGGAAATTCATGGACTACATTCGCCTAGACCTATATGATTATCTACAGGGTGGGCCTAGTAGTAGTTTCCGACCCAAGTGCCTGTTTCCATCCTTCCATTCAAAATTAAATATATTCATATTCAACAACAACAATTATATAACTGCTGCATCTCCAGCAGAATTTTATTAAATCCATAAGTTATTAAGGTATGGCAGAACAAAAAAGTGCAATTTTTGGCTCACCCTGTAGATAATCTAAATAACATAGTAGTGTTGATATATGTTATTTTGCTCCACATACACTCCCCTCCAAAAGTTTGGCAACCCTGTTTATGTTTGAATTTTTATTGTCAGTCACATTAACTCTTGAAATTCCCGAGTATTTTTTTTTATTTTTTTAATCATCAAACATAAAAGGTCTTATCATGGGGTCCAATAGTGCAGTTGGGGTTGTCAGTCTTTTGGAGGGGAGTGTTGATGAATAGACCTACATGTACCTAGCATTTATTCTGAATAAACCTTTTCTAACATACTTAACAGACATTTTTAAACATAAATAGACCCTTTCTAGAATTCTTGATGCACCTTAATAGATATTTTTAAACATTCTGCATATACCTTTTCAAACATTCTAGACAGACCTTTCTAAACATTCTGAAGTAGACCTTTCAAACCTTCTAAATATACCTTTATTGAATAAAACATTCAAAACATTTTGAATAGACCTTTCCAAACTCTAGAGAAACTTCCTAATTTTGATCGTAATGCCTCAGTCACATTTGCTTTACGGGGACTGTAAACGGCGACCATAGTTCAACAAATTCCGAGAGAAATAAGTATGGTGAACATAGAAAATCTGCAATCGCCTTAAGGTCGCTGTATGGTCTCCTTTCGGCGTATCCCAGTTTTCTTACAGGCTCTTGCGTCCCTGTGGAAATTAGAAAACAGTGATAACCTAATTTTATTTCATTTGTATATTGGCCATAGAAATTAAACTCGCTGTAGCCCTGCTGTACGGAACACCTTGCCTTGGTATTGTCAAAAAATGGCATATATGACTGCTAATCTATGTGACCATAGAAATTCTACGGCTGCAGTAATTTAATACTATTAAGCCGTAGAAGTATTAGACCGAACAGTCGCCGTAGCAAATATGACCGAGGCATAAAGGCCTACCATATTCTGAAAAAATTATGTTTACCAGGTCGTTCAATAAATTCGTAGAAAAATGCACTTTGTATGTGATGTGAAACTTTCATAAAAAGTATCAAAAATCTTAGAAAATAGCTGCATTTTTCTGCGATCTTATTGAATGACCTGGTATATAATGTAATATCAATGTATAATAGAGTTGAAAGAGATAGAGGAGAGAATGAGAGAGAATGAAAATTATCATGAACATGACCCGAATCAAGGGAAGACTGTTGCAATATATATATATGAATAATAAATGATTGTCACAATGACAAGAAAAAAATGAACTTGTTCAATCGAAAATCAAAGAATATGTTTATTTGCAGAACGTTAACAAATTACAAGAATCTATATGCAATATATAATTATTATTAATATAACTAGAATATTTGTTGTCATGTTTTAAGCCTTTTCCAATGACAGCGCTCATATTTTCCAGAAAAATGTAAAGTGTATCGCAATTCAACTTCAGTCCTATGTGTTAGCGATTTTAAGCATTCTGATATTTCCCAACGCTCCGAACGGTCGTCTTGTTTATCCATAGATGTATACTTACATTTTTTCATATTGTGTAGGATAACAAAGTTTCAAATGACTGGGACCATTGAAGGTCATAGTAAGATAAGCAGAACAATCATTCCACTGATTCTCGTACCACTACAATGGCTACTTGAATCCAAGTTCAACAAAATCAAGATATGATGTGTGATTTGATAAAATACGTTTTATTTCGTGGAATTTGCTACTCCTGGTAATTGCTGTTTTTCTAGTTTCATCATATGTCTACTGGGACGAAGGAGCAGGAAAAGTTTACTCCCCCTCTGTTCCATTTTAATTATATGCCACGATATGCCACATTTTAATTATATGCCACGATATTCCACCCACAAGTGGTGACAAATTGTTATATAATAGTCTGTTCGGTAGTTGGTGTTTGACATCTGTAACAAATGGCAGGTAGTGACATTTTGCGTGTTAATGTCTTGTTTTCGATTATATTTTACATAAGATATGGTAACTTTAAAAATCCAGCAATGACGTTAATTTTGTGACAATAACGTCACTGTTATGAAAGGTCGACTTTGCACTTTGGTGACGATGCGCCTGTTTAATAGACCTCATTCTGATATCTCGGAGGCCCATCTGTTCAAAAAAATCCTAGAAGCATATTTTATCAAAACGAGCGCGTATTGATTAATTTTATGTTGAGTCATTGATCAGATATTTTTTAATGCCAGAATTAGATATTTCTGTATCACACAATGGCCTAATAGAAAATAGTTGAATCTTCAGAATGAAATACTTTAGTTTGTTCGGAGTTACGTTGCAGGGCCTCTGTCTGAAAATAATATGATACTAGGGCAACATACCGACGATATATATGTTTAAAAATCTCAATAATACTCTACTCGAGTCTATAGGCAATGATATGACCTTGACTTGATCATGTAAGGGCGCCCCGGGGAATGACTAACTAACTAACGAGCATAGTGTAACAAGCCAGATAAAGAAATTGAAAGAAAGTGTGCTAAATTCAATGCCCCGTGTGGGAATCGAACCCAGGACCCTTGGGAATGACGATTTTCAAAAATTCATCAAATTTATCATCAATTTTCGACCTATTGTAATTGAGGAAAAATTTTGGAGGTATTGGAAATAAAGCCAAGTTACGTTTCCATCAATAAGTTATTTCATCGCCGGTTAATTCAAACGTAAAGAGGCTTTAACACGTAGTTCAATAGGGGAGCTAAGGTTGCCAGATATATGGAGGGACTTATGTACATGCATACACATATAAATCACTAAATTTAATTAATTGCATTGATCGCAATGTATCTAATAACATGGTGTATAATCAAAAACGCTGAGCTACCAGAGCGGAGCGTTCATATACATGATATACTAATGATTTCAAACAGAGAAACGCTTCTGGTTGGTATAATCTTTTCATATATGTGAAAATATGAAATATACCACACTGTTGTAACATCGGATTGTGCCACTTGTTATATCGAAATGACATAATGTAAGAATAACAACAATTCAAAAGGGAGTTGAACCCTTCCTACGACATCCACAATGTGCTTTTAAGCGCAAATGTGACCCCATACGGATGTACAGTAAGCATATTTTTAAATAAACACAGATATGTAAGCAAACGTGTCGAAGGGAAAATACTAATAAAAAGTGTAACAAAACAGAGCAAGAGCAAATTAAGAAGTGATGTTTATTTGGCATTGACTGAAATACAATAACTTGATAACTTTTCAGAGAGTAAGTCTTTAATCTTTGAGCCTTTAATCTTCATATAATATTGGCAGATACAGGATTCTTATATCAAAGTAATATTTTGTGTCATTTGAAGAATGTAATCCTATTCCTTTTCTTTATTGCTATTTTTACTGTTAATGAAAATTGTATGTTGGATGTACGTTTGGCCCTAAAAGGGCATCAGTACAAACAAATCCTATTATATTATAAACATCACCCATGCTAAGCAGATGCCTCTTGTATCTTCTAAAAACACGACAATTTCTTGATAATTCACAAAATCCATCATATTCCTGACATCTTGAGTTATGTTAATTATTATGTTATAGTGACTAAATAATTAATGAAATCAGCATACACATCCAGACTCTTCAGTTTCCATAGTAAATGGACGAATTTGGAGAAATTAATTCCAGTTGAGAAGTGTACGACGTGAAGGGTATGCACCATGATATTATCGTGGTTCCTAGAAGATTTGAGAAGTTCTAGATCGTGTTCAGAAAAATTGTTGAGACGTCGCGTTGCGATACTAGAGGCATCTCTGCTTACCCCCCTATCACACCAAACTAGTTCGTACCCGTTCTTGCCAGTCCTACGAAAACGTCGTAAAACGGGCTCAATCTGGCTATGGTCGGGAAATATGTCTGAAATAATTAGCTTCTTCGTTCTTAAACAGTCTTCAATACGTTCATCTCGTTCGCAGTTCGTTCAGGTCGCACCAAGTCGGTGTGCAACGTAGTAGAACGCGTCCCTTAGTCTAGAAGGTCAACATGACCTGATTACAGAACGGCATGGTCGCCATCGAATTTTGAATCGATTCAAAATTCTAAAATCACATTCCCGTCTGAGAACGTTCATAAAGTTCGTAAATAGACCTTAGAAAGTTGCAGCTACGTTCATTCCGTTCGCACACAGTTTAAAACCAGTTTGGGAGAACGCAGTGGCAACTTGTTTGGTGTGATAGCTATATTTTTGCTAACTCGTTCATAAGCAGTGTTAAATACGTTCTTAATCAGTTTAAACCCGTTTGCAATTAGTTCTACCTCGTTCTAAACACGTCCTCAGACAGTTCAACTCGTTGTTAAAACGTCCCTAGTAGGAGTGAAGTACGACGGTTCCGTTCGTAGTACGTCCAGCTAGTCGTTAGTACGTTTTCACTCGTTCTAATTGTAAAACGTGACGACCACGAGAACATTTTGAGCATTGTCTAAGTTCTAGAGGACCTACCCGTTCGAGTACGTTCGATGAAGTTTGTAAATTGATCCCAAACGGTTCTTAGTAGGTCCAGTCCGTTCGTACACAGTTGAAGCCCGTTTTCGAGAACGTAGTGAGAACTAGTTTGGTGTGATAGTAGGGTTAGCAGGGGCGAGGTTTATATGAGGAAGAAAGGCTCATATTCCGTCAAAACATTGTAATAGATATATAAGCACGTCATCCAGTACCGTTTGTACGACGTGTTGAGAATGGGGTGTGTACATAGTTGAAAAAGTAAAAATGTAAATTGTATGATAGTCATATTGAAATGTTCACCCCCCTATCACACCAAACTAGTTCTTACCCGTTCTTGCCAGTCCTACGAAAACGTCGTAAAACGGGCTCAATCTGGCTGTGGTCGGGAAATATGTCTAAAATAATTAGCTACTTCGTTTATAAACAGTCTTCAATACGTTCATCTCATTCGCAGTTCGTTCAGGTCGCACC